TTGGTCGAGACTTTGGAAAACAATAACTCTCCTACTTTGATTGTTAGACTATAAGTAAAGATATACTGTTTGATTGTTCAATACTTTGTAAAAGATAATTTGTGATAAATTTATATGTGTCCTCTAATTATTTTCCTATTTCGGCGGGGGACATCAGCCTCACTGTTGGCTTGTTTCTATTTGTAAGACCGGTAACCTAAATACCGTTATAGTTTGCAATTTTAAAGTCTATCTTTGCTGTGATTCGAGAGTAATTCTTAACTATGCACTCTAAACATGTATAGTCTTATGCATACGTGTCCTTCAAAATGTAGTAGACATGCAGCTTTACATGACTGGTTGGAAATGTAACCGCATATATCGTGCAGAATATGTGAACACGCGTGTTCTTACTATACAACTTTACCTATCGCGTCCGTATTATTAACGAAAATATTCAACATTCATAACATCGTGGCAGTATATCGTTTTGACATCGATTGTTTATGACAAATATAACCGTTAATTTTGCATGTAAAATTACACTGAGGCCTATCGTGTCCCGCGACTATCGTGGCACATGATAGCGACTGCTACACTGTACGTACTCGAGATAAGATTTTGTTTACATTTTAAACAATAGTGAAATTAACACAATAAATTAAACGAGAATTCAACAGTCCGTGCACAAAGTGTCGTCAGTCAGTGTTAATACGGCGATGATTTAATACAACCAGCAGTCAGTAAACCGGGTCCAGAATCTTTCCGGACAACTGGGCCGGTATTCATGATGAAAATACCTGACCGAGAGCTATTTTATCGGTAATGACCGACGGTCCGAGGGCTTTCGCATGGACTGGCCAGAGTTATGGCCCTTGATTTTCAACGATTTCCGCTTTAAAGGCTCAAGTTATCATCTGATTGACTTCAGATTGATACACAGAGTTTAAGATCTTGAGACGAACAAGTATATTGATTTTCAATGAATTTTTATGACTTGAACAAATCCATGATATTAAAAGTTTTGTATACAAAACGTTAGCATGCGGCAGAACTTTATAAAAACCAAATCTTAATCAGATTTTAGTGTATTATAAATGTTTCATTACCGAAAAAAGTAAGAATATGCGACAACTCTTGATGACTGTCCGGACGATTTAGCTACTGTGGGCGTATGTTTCGTTGCCTGGCAACCTATCTTATGTAATTGTATTTGAGCAGAACAGTAGGACGTTAAACTCCATTTCATTTCATTTCATTTCAGCAATTGTATTGTAATAGTTGAATATCAGTCTCAATATCTTCAAAGATTCAGGCGTAAAAATTATCGAAATGTAAGCGAAATTACCGTTTGTTTTCATGAGACGCTCGTGGGAAAATACCACTCTGACGTCGGGCCGCCGGAGATTTTCCATTGCTACTCACTTCATTGGTGAATCCGCACCTTAGTTTCCGGTGGAATTTGATATAGAGCCAATCAAACGATAGATAGCATTTTTATGCACCCACATTTTCATGTGGACGTATATTGTCGTCGCCCCTGTCCGTCCGTCCACAATTTGTTTGTGGACACTCTACAGGTCAAAATTCTTATCCGATTTTGACGAAACTTGAAATATAGGTTTATCTCCTATAGAAGTCATAATTTTTATCTGATTTAAAAAACCGTATTATTATATCACCGTTATACCCTAAGGATGGCCGAGTTCGAATTTCGGCCCAAAATTGACAGACAAAATGGCCGCTGTTCGTTCTCAAATAGCGTAAAATTATGGTATATCAAGGTTGTGGACCCTATAGAGGTCACAATTTTTATCCGATTTTGTTGAAACTTGAAATGTAAGTTTATAACACAAAGATCTCGGTTTCTTTCGATATTTGCGCATATCGAATTGTAATTTCCTGAATTATGGCCCTTTATTGTAGTAAAAATCACTTTCTTTTTAGCTTGTTCTCTAACCATCTCTCGAAAATGTTTTCGTATCCTGCCTGGCAGCCGCTGGTTTTGCTTATTATGGTCTTTGATACCTCGAGATCGGACAATTACAGCCGTAGAAAACGGGCTTTATCTGTTTTGATAACTGAAATTTGCTAAATTTCGACAAAATATAAAATGCTTATCATTGACATATTATCATTCAAATTATTACGATTTTAATAAATTTTAGCTGACAATAACGTGCGAATTTCAGTTTTAAAATTGGTACTAACGCTCTGAAGGGAAAATACCGCTTATGACGTCACTCAAATATGACTGAAAAGCACTTACTTTGGTGCCATGCCACGCATTGACCATACATGCCAACTATTCCGATTTTGTCGGAATCATTCCGATTTTGTCGGAATCATTCCGATTTTCTGAGTCTAATTCTGAATTCCTATTTTACTCTTTATAATTCCGTTTTTTAAAATTTATTGGAAGAAATTTATTATATTTCATGCCTGACCTTTTTGATTGATAAAATCCCTCTCGTTTTATTTTTACATTGACGACTGTCTCGGCATGATTGATCAAATCCCTCTCGTTTTATTTTTACATTGACGACTGTCTCGGCATTCTCGCTGTTTGTTGTGAATCTGATGGCGATACTGTTTGTCGTAGTATGAGTCGGTAAAACAACGAAAATAGTCGAGAACATGTGTCATGTTTTCCTTATTATTATTAATATAAAATGGAATAAGCTATTATGTCTGGACTAATCAAATTCAAAATGTCATGTGGTTATTTCTGTCATTTGCCGTGTCTAATTTGCATAATTCGCGGTAAAACGACGGAAATAGCCGAAAACATGTCTCCAGTTTTCTTGATTATTATTAATATAAAATGGAATAAGCTAATATGTCTGGACAAATCGAGATCAAAATGTCATGTGGTTATTTCGTCATAGGCCGTGCCTAATTTGCTTCGCGGATATTATTTGCTACGCTGAGCCATTCTCGCATACACACTCTCGGACAGTACACGGTAGGTTTACCGTTACTGTTAGTTGCCAGTTACGTTGTTGCTTCTTCCTTAGCCATATTTCCTTCTGACTTGATAAAAAATGTTTTCAAGCTGTTTTCCATGTGTGAAAAAAAACCAAATTACAATTATAAATAAAACCCAGTATAAATAATTTACAACTTCTACTTCCGTGTTGGTCGTCAAGACAAACAAAATGGCTTCCAAAACAAATGTCAGACAAAAATACCGGGAAACTTACGGCAAAGAATTTCCAGGAACCATTACGTCCTCGCGTAGAGGCGACGAATTCTCATTTTGTTTAGTCTTTCGTATATAAATAGGTAAAAAAAACTCAGATGCATGGACCTAAATCACCAGCTGTTTTTATCCAATAATACAAGGTACTGCTTTAAAAAGGTGCTAATTTCTCAAAATTTTCTTGGGGCCCTTAGGCGGGCCCCAAACCCCACACCCTTCATACCTCCGGCACTCATGGTGCTTTGCACCGATCGAACTTGGACCTGCGGTCCTCGCTCTACCCCCAATACAAGGCATTCTGATTTTCAATCTCCTCAGGTTGGCATGTATGATTGACTGGTATAGAGCATTTTGATTACATTATTGACGTCGATCTCGGATTTTTAAATTCCATAACTTTGGATCTGATCAGAATATTTTGATGAAATAAAAAAAATTTGGGTAGCATTTTATGTATATTTTCTCAAAATATTTTTTAAAAAACTTTTTTTTGTCATATGAAACTTTGACTTGAAACCCCTACATGTAGGCATAACTGAGATATTCGACTTATGTTGTCATCAGCACCCTTTATCATGCTTTAGGACCAAGTTTGGAACATAGTTGGTAAATAAAGTTGGAATTTGTTGGTGATTAATATGTAGTTTATCACCCCAAATAACAAAAAATGACATATTTTAACAAAAATACTGTCTGAACCGTTGTAAATTTTAAATGAATTTATTAGATTATGAACACACTACTGGTACTTAACTTTGGGAATTATAAACTTACCTGTGTGTTTGAAATCAACAGTTAAATAAAATCCTTTGTACAATAAGATATTCCAACGAATAATGTTCTCTCTTGAAGAATTTGACGTATTTGTTTTTTCCGAGTCTTGCAGATGTAGAGGGCAAAAACGCAAAATTTGGTAATGTCTGCGTATTTTTACGCAACTCGAAATTGATCCACTGCGATCTCTGACGGACAGTTATGCGGGTGAACGCCCAAACTCAATACCGAGCGGAGACTTGTTGCTTATTCTTATACAAAACTTGAATTGTTGTAAAAGTACTTAAAACTTTCACCCCTTTATACGAAATGATCTACCACGAAGAGTGACATAATCAGCTTCCATTTTGGTATTGCTCCATTTCAAAAGTTTGTTGGAATTCAATTCTTCAAGAGAACATTTTTATTCGTTTGGATATTTAATTGGGCAATGGATATTTTTTTAACAGGAGTTGATTTCAAAAACAAAGGTAAGTTTATAATAACCAAAGTTAAATAGTTTGTTTATTATTGAAGAAATCTGTTTAAAATTTACGACGGTTCAGACAGTAGCTTTTAAAAGTGCATTTTAGACAGCTCAAAGCCCTTAAATTGCATTTTGTCATGCTCTTTTCAATGAAATTGCCTACTTATTCCATCTCAGTTGATAGCTTTAAAAGATTGTTGTCTAGAGTTATGGCCCCTGTTTTAGTTTATGAACCCCGTGAATGTTCGAATGACAAAAGTTGTCATCCGATCTGTATGAAACTTATATGCATTATTTAGGTAAAACCAAAAAGCCTGTCAAATTTTTTTTGTATATTACTTCCAGAGTTAAGGCCCTTGTTTCAGTTTATAGAACCTTGTGAACCCTCAAAGAACAAAAATTATAATCTGATCTGTATGAAATTGTCTTGTAAATGCCCCCAATTACCTACAAAAGAATAAATATGCGGCAACTGCCGGCAACCCTTGTTGACAGCTCACACGATTTAGCTATTGTGGGCGTATGTTTCCTTGCCTGGTAACCTATCTTTTAATCATACCGTGATCTTTGATCTTATAGGTTGTACGTGGACATTATAAAGGACAACAAGTTGGAAAAGTTGTACAGGTCTACAGGAAAAAATATGTTATCTATATTGAAAGAATTCAACGCGAAAAAGCAAATGGTGCCACAGTTCATGTTGGTATTCATCCTTCAAAGGTATAGTAAAGTTTAATTTAACCCTATCGGCACTGGACACCAGCCTCCTGTTCTATTTCTATTCTAGACTATTCTGTTAACTTGGTTCCCAGGCAAGTTTATGTAGTGTGGGATGCTCCCCTGTCTAGGTCCCCATGTTATATGATTAAGCCATTCACCACCCAAGACTCTTTATTCGCTGACTAGTCTTTTTGGTACCTGCAGGCCTCGAGTAGGAATGTATGTAAAAAGCTAACTGTTGAAATGTTGTCCAATATTGTTGTTGTCCACAAACTTGAGACTAAAATTAGCATCCGATTGACTTGAAATTTATTCATGGTTTAATTTCCATGCGAAGGAACCTATTGATTTTCAACATTTTCTGAAAATTACCACCGGAATCGGAAGAAAACCACCCCAAGCTGTATAAATTGATATTACGCAGCCTTCTTTGTCACATGATCTGATTAAGGGGAGGGTCCATTTTCAGCTTGTACAAATTCAATTGGTCCATTAACCATAAATATTGAAGCTTAATTAAATTCTTGGATTGTCCCTTGCAAACTTCTTTTTCCGCTGTTTTATTGAAAAGTCTGCAGTACTTTGAAGTCTGTCACTGTTCTCACACGCGCTATGCATTCATTCAAAAAGTGATGAAACTTGGTGAATACATGTAGTTTCACTATAAAGTACTTCAAAGCCTTGACGGAGTTTGATAGTGAACATTTTATGCTTAGACTAAGTTTAGATACATGTAATAAGTTTGATTGCTTGATAATTTTCAAAAAGATATATGTGCAATTAAATAATGTGTCATCTATTTATTTTGGGTTTGCGGTAGGGACATAGGCCTCACTCTTGGCTTGTTATCATTGCTTTAGGAATATTTTTTATCTTTTTCTGTTGACAGGTAGTAGTTGTTAAATTAAAAATGGATAAAGACAGAAAGAAGATCTTGGAACGTAAGGCTGCCTCTCGTAAAGGTTTGGCCGACAAAGGAAAACATACAGAAGAATCTATCATGGAAACTTCTTAAACAAGAAATTAAAAAAATGTACAATAAATATGTTATTGTTAATTGTTTCTTATCCCAATAATTTTAATGTATGATATACAACTGAACCTGTTATGCTGCATTAGCACTTTGAAGATATCTTCATGTACTGGTTGGTTGGAAAAAATCTTGATTTGACTATAGGCCCAGGTGGCTGGTCATATTAGATTGTATATAAAATTTGTGAACAAATTACTGAAGTAACAATTCAATATCTTGTACAAACAAACATGCATGCAAAATACTTTTTATGGGCATACATGGAAATGTGGTCATATATTCCTGTCGTCCACAATTTCTTGTAAACACTCTACAGACTACATTTATCATCTGATTGTTTTGAAATTCATATGTTGCTAAAATTAGTGAGATGAAGAGGCCTATTGATTTTCAATAATTTCCATTAATTTCTTCTGGAGTTATGGCCCGTTGTCAGATATTTATTACCTTTATCTGTCCTTTCTTGTAAACACTCTACATTTATCATCTGATTGTTTTGAAATTCATATGTTGCTAAAATTAGTGAGATGAAGAGGCCTATTGATTTTCAATAATTTCCATTAATTTCTTCTGGAGTTATGGCCCTTTGTCAGATATTTATTACCTTTATCTGTCCTTCCAGTTTCCATTATTGCTGTTTTAGAGGCTAACTTGGATCACACGATTGACTTGAAATTTATACACAGTGTTATGTTAATGACCTATATACAGGCCTCCGGCATATTGGTGCACAACAACACGCCGCCTCTTCGTAATCATGGTTATAGATTTTAGTACCATCCAACATTGATTGTTTTTCAGAGTAAATAAATATAAATACGCCAGAAAATAATTTACATATTTGAAAAGAGCAATAAACGTGCTTTTCAGTGATACCTAATATAATATCTGGAATTTTGTATTAAGACCCGTATTTTTAATTTAAATACCCCTATTCCCGTCAAATAAACCGAGTTTCACACTGGACTTTTATCTCTTTTCAAGGCATGTAAATATGACTGTCCTGGAAAATTATTTATATATTTGAAAGGGGCAATAAACATGCTTTTCAGTGATGGGTAGCATGATATATTATGTAATTTCGTATTCGATCTATATCAAATCGAGCAATTTAACAGTGCTTCACGTTTGAGGCGAGCGATCGCCGTCCCTCAAGCGTCATTTTAGACGGGGTTTTCATCGCTCTTCCGTAGATAAAATAGCGCTCGTCATTTCTTACACATTTCGAACACCCAGACTGCAAATAAAGCCCAAGTAAACGAATCCTCGAATATCGTCCAATGAAAATTTTATTTTTGGCACCAAAAATAAGTAGCCTATCGCTGAATTTGATACTCGGTTCTGGAATCACGATGCCTATAGACCCGGTCCCAGTGGCCGATGGACACAAAACATATGCAAAAAGGACATGGTGGACGAGAAAACTTTCGGGGGTGGCTCCATCCGTTTTCATCCGCTCCAGAAATGGACAAAATTGACGAAATTTTGCGAAAAAAGAACGAACGTGGGAAGTATGTAGCGGGGATGTTAAATGGATGTTCATCGGAAGCCTAGCGAATGGAAGTGGATGACAGCTCCGACATCCTTCAATATACCAGATACAAACGCTCTTTCCATTTTGAAAACTTTACATACGAGATGCATACGTTTACATCCTTTCTATTTCCGTGCTACTAACGATGTATAGACGTTCCATGTACCTTAGTCCAGCTCTGAACGTAGGTCTCATTGACCTATGTTCAGAGCTGGACTACATGTACCTTATCTTTCCTCCCTCTTTCCGTTTTCAGCTGGAGCGGATGTGAGTTGCGAGGATGCCCAAAGGATGCAGAGAGGATACAGTGGACGTTTAACGGATGATAACAGACATGGAACGTTTGGTGCTCGTATATGTCGCGCATTTACATCGTACACGGCAGAAAGTTCATCTGTTATAAAAGTTTTGTGCAGCTCAAAACTTTTTGCGCGGATGAAATCAAAGTGAACGGATGCTCGATGGATAGAGCGTATGAAACACGTATGCAATGAGTACACAACGGATGCATGGCGTTTTCAAACGGAGGGCACGTTTTTTCCCCAGTTTAACATCCTCTTTGCATCCGTAAGTGCAGTGGGACCGTGTCGGGTAGTCGAGTGGTGACTGACATTTTAAGAAGTTATAAGGCCTCAAACAAGAAAGTCATGTCAATGGCGAAGCGAACACCAAGCGCCCTCTGTTTATTATATTTATCAATGTACAGCCCATAGTATAGTATAAGGGAGGAAACTCTTGTTAAAGTCCTAGTTTATTACATTTCCTCATCCTAAGATTAAACATAATCTTAAAAAAAACTAAACAGTTCAATTTCACCTAGAAACCATAAAAAGGGTTATTAACACAGAAGAACATAGTCACTAAACTTTACGTAAGGTTAATGGAACTATTATTTTTCAACAACATAGTCCTTTAAGTAAGCAGGTGGTTTCCTAACACGAGCAGGAAAACGTGACACATTGTCTGGAATAACACCATGATGATCTACAGGCAAATGATTTTCATTTAGCACCGGAATATCCATTGGAATATTAATGTCAGGGACTGGATCCACCACTGGCTCAACAACTTCATCATCAGATGCATGACGTAATAATATCTGATCTATATGACGTCTCATGACTCTTCCATCTGATGTCTGAATCTGATACGATAATGGACCTGTAACTTTAACAATTCATGCAGATATCCATTTAGGTCCATAACCATAATTTTTCACACTAACGCGATCATCGACTTGAAAGTTTCGAAGCTTAACCTTCTTATCATGTGACTTAATTTGACTCTCTTGTTCTTGTTGAATTTTCAGTTGACTATCTGGAAACACACAATCAAGACGAGATCTCAACTGACGTTTCATAAGTTACTCTGCAGGAGACCTTCCTGTAGTAGCGTGTACAGATATGTGATATGTAAATAAAAGTCTATTTAATCTGTCATCTAGTGTACCTTGTTTATTAGGGTTTCACACTGCGTAGCTTGTGTGAAACACTATTGTTTTTGTTAAAATTATTCTTATTATTCTTATTATTTTTTTTTTTCCAATTTGATTGTATCTCAGAAACTACTTGTCCGATTGATTCGATGTCTTCGGTTTTACTACTGGAAAAGTGGGTGTGACTTAGAGATTAAAGCTATTTCGAACGTTCTGCGACAATGCGAAATGTCCGAAATCGTCGATTTTTGAAATATTGCCGTAATATTAACAATAATCGTCGGATTTTAACATTGGATACATTTTGACATAGCCAGAGACAAGGCACATAGCCACGGTTCTTTAGATTTTTGATTTTCCACGAATCGTCGGAGATATTAGGCGCCAAATTTTGAAAATTTAAATTTTTACAAAAAACTTTTTTATTCATGAATATTTTAATGTGGTATTTTATCCAGGGTTAAAGAGTCATCTGATTTGACCAAAAATGGCACCATTTTTTGTCATTGTAAATTTCCTTGACCCCCATTGGCTAATTCAGTTTTTCAGTCCTGGATTAATTATTTATTGCTCGATTTGTATAAAACAAAGTTCATATGCTCCGTAATCCAAAATGTAAAGTTACCTTTCGGCAACGGAAGTGACGTAAATTTAGCAAAAACTACAATTTTGACAGTTCGGTACCACTTTTTGAAAGCAAATATTATTTTTTTCAAATCTGGTATGACTGAAAGTGTGTGCCCTGTAAAGGCGCAGAAAACATCGGGCTCAGTTTTTTTAATTTTGATTTCGTTTTCGGGTCATTTTGATTTAAAGGTGAAAAAAGGTGAAAAAATGAGCTATTTACAACCCATTCAGGCTTTTCATATTTTAAAATATTTCTTCGCAACTTTCATAAACTTGTAGCCTTAATCCATACGAAGAGAATCTATCTCAAAATTAGTTTGTAATAAGAGCAGTTGCCGAGAAATGGTCAATTTTGCATGAGTCACTCTTTACGCTATTGTGTCTGTAAAAGAGTCAATTATTATTGGATTTTCATAAAAGTGACACCATTTGATGCATAATGTCAATTGTGACTAGTTCAACTCAATTTAACATTTTCCATGTCACCGGAAATGACAAAATTTGGGTAAAAACTGTATTTAAAGCCTTAGAAACAAATAATTTATTGAATGAGTCGTATTTGTTGTTTGTTTAATATTTTGATATTTGATTCTAATCAACTAATAGAATGAACCCATACGATCATATAGGTATCACAAAATGGTTTCTAACTTGTTCAGTTGTAGAGAAATAGGTAATTTTCAACAGGTCACTTTTCAAGGTTTTTTGTCCATAAAAGTGTCAATTATTATTCGATTTTCATGAAATTTTCACTATGTGATACCTAATGCCATTTACGATTTCATACAAGTAATTTAAGATTTTCATTATCACCGGAAGTAACGTCATTTTGGCAAAAACTGTATTTTTAGCTTTCAAAACAGATATTTTATTCAAACGAGTCTGAGTTGTTATGTTTTTAAAATTATGATATTTGATTCCAATCAACAAATAGAATAAACCCATACGATCATACAGATTCCAGAAAATGGTTTCTAACTTGTATGGTTGCAGAGGAATTGACGGTTTTCTACAAGTCACTTTTTAAGGTTTTTGGTCTATAAAAGTGGCAATTATTATTCGATTTACATAAAATTTTCACCATGTGATGCCTTATGCCATTTCTGATTTCATAAAACTAATTGAATATTTTCATTATCACCGGAAGTACTGTACACTAACATGTAACAAATATATAAAATGAATTGATATTGCTGGATTTGGTTGATTCGGCGTCCATTTTATTTGATGTGTGCAATGATGAGGTGGAAACCTGTTTAATGGTTTCATTGGTACCGGAAGTGACATATGTTTAGGGTAACGTGGCACCGGTGAACTGAATAACTGTTGAACCCCATTTTTACAAAGGAAAGTCTTAAACTCTTCACTAGTAAAACACGAACCATTGTCAGAGACAACAACTGTTTTTGGTAAA